TCATATTCCAAAGGCGCTGAGAATGAGGGCAGTGAATGAAAGCTTGGCTCTGCTTATAGAGATAGAGATAGGATGCTTATAGAGATAGATATAGAGACTTAGGAAATATTTCGGCGTGAAGCTCCCATCAATACCGGCACCCTGCGCTAGGAAAGTTTGCTGATCTGTTCCTTAGACAAGAAGTCTCCTTTCCACCCCAGCATTTCCGTTTTCTCATTGCAATGGTGTGAGAAACTGCTACGTTGTTCTCTTACAGGCGACTGGCAATCGTTTCTTTCGATCCCTAGCGTGGAAAAGCAACTGAAGAAGACTCACCCCTACATACCGTCGGTCACCCTGGACTTCTCGTCGGTCAAGGTAATTCTTGACAATCGGATTACTGTATGAAATGTAACCGTTTGGGAATATCTGTTGTTATGGGCATGTGGTTGACAATAATATCGGTTTGAGAATTCATATTTATATGTACAACTCTGTGCTATTCGATGCAGGCATTTCGTCCTGCGCTTACGGTACCTTTGTCATGCTCTGCCCGGTAGGCCCATCACGCGGCGAGAAGGCAGAGACGCAGACGGGTTAGTGGACGAGTGGCAGCGCGTGCCGTGTGATGTTGAAATTAGTAAATATAGGATCTATAGGATATCTATTTTACGTGACCCGAAATCCGCTGCAGAACGCGCTGCGACTCGTCCGCTGACCGGTCTGCGTCTCTGCCTTGTTGTCGCGCGACGGGCCTCCTGTCGGGTGGCCTGCTTTACAAGCTCAAATATTCGTTGACTCACGGCTTACAGTGATTTGCTTAATCGAGTGAGCTCTTGTTGACGCTTGTCTCGTTCGAGCATAATGCCGACGGGCAACCGGGGTCCGATGAGCCTGTCTTTTGTATGCGGCGGCCAGGTCATCCCTGCAAACTTTTGACGACTGTCTCACAAAATGTGATATTTGTTTGCCAACGTAATGTTGGCCGTTGCAGTTGTATTCTATCAACTGTGACTAATTACAACACTCATTTATTATTTATCGGCTATCTCTAGAAACTACTAGCTATTAAATTTATTTGGAAAGCCGTTGGAGCCGTTCTGAGGGCATTTGAGATCAACACCGTGCAGAGAACGCCGCATGTTGGTCCAACTATCAAAAATTTTACGACCCCCTCCCACAGAGGTCTCGATGCGAACCCACACCACGACCACGAGGCTTACCACCGGGAAGGCATTTAACTTCCCATGGAACTTTGAATTAAGACCCCAGATGGATCGATAGAGTTTCTAAACGTGATTACTAATATTGGAACCAAACTGCAAAATAGACCTGGCAAAGAAGTTGTGAGCAGTCAAAAATAGCGGGAATTGAAGCGGAACATATAAACCGTGCTACCGTCCTGGCATTCAAAACGCCGTGGAGTAGCGGATAGTGATCTCGAACTTTGCATATGAATAGGAAGAGAACGTATGATCCACCGGGTGGAGAGCGAGAGCATTACCGCTACTCCACGTCGGCTCTGAAAGGCCGAAGGCTAGCATGAGAAGCTTTACTTACAGTCCAACTTTGCTGCTCGCGACTTCTTTGGCGAGTTCATTTTTGCAGTTTTAGTTTCAATATTTGTAATCAGCGTTATGAACACTATCCATCTATTAGGGTCTTAATTCAAAGTTCCATGGGAATTTGAATGCCTTCCCTGGTTAGTGGGATCCCTTCAGTACGACCCCCGCCCCTCTACCCCCGACCGCGACCCTCCCACCATAGCTGTTTTAGCCGCGCTATCTTATAAAGGAGTTGACGAATGTAGGTATTTTGTCATGGAACTTCGGCGGAAGTGATTTATAACTTCAGCCATTTATTTTTGAGTTGCTAATTACTGTGTCGACACATGAACGCAGTGAATGAGGACTCCTTCCTTTGGATGGTGATTGACGATTTGTCAACGGTGATCCGTTCTTTGTTAAAAGGGGGAGGTGGGGCGAAACAAAAAACGACTATCCCTTTCTTTCCGCAAGGTGCTTGGCTTTCCCCGGATTCTTATCAAACGAAATGGCGTAGAAAGCACTAGGATGTGCTAAAGTGCTTGCAACGGGAACAGGACGCACGACTAAATGGGATTTGAACGAAGTGAGATGGTTGGAAGCATTGAAGATCTAAAAAGATAGCGCTTTTACGCTTACGTACATGCTTGCATGTTACTTTCACATGCGGAATTCCCCGCCTCTTAGGCGTTCTTTTTCGATCTGAGTCTAAAAGTCTCAAGAGAAATGCCTCAAGACTTCTAGGCTCTTGGCAAGACAAAAACGTTACGCTCACTTTGACGTTGGCGCGAGAGCCTATAACTTGGCGTCGATGAGACGCTACCTTCTCCTGCCCTGTGTGATGCATTACGGAGACTAAAAGCAGTGTCAGAATGCTTGCGAATGACGAAAAGCCTTTGTGATAGGGAAGTAAGGAGAGTCTGCGATCGGAAAGTCTCTGGAGTACAACTCGTCCTGTCTCATGCCTCAACAGATCGTGTAAAAATGAACTGTCCCCCTCCCCTCTGAGCCTCACAGCTCTGAGGTCTCCACTGATCTTATATTTTCAGAACTCGGTCCCGAATGATCTGGAAAATCGTCGTTATGTCGTCTATCAACTGGTGCTCATGCTTCGTGCTCACATCGCCGCAGTGTTATCAAGCCGTGGAATCAGTTTCTGGTCGATGCAGCAAGTAAGAGTCTCAGTCCTCGTACGATGTAGAATTGCATGATCAGATTTGAAGGCTTCAGGACTCGTTATGGACGGAGAACTTTGCGTCGATGCAGGTCGAAAGGCATTATCCAAATTCGAACCTGATATTCGACACAGTTGGCAATGATCAGGTGAGGCGATGTTCCTCTAGATAAGAGCAAAGCACCAATCGTTTGCTCAATCCTTTTTTTGGAATGCGCCGCGCATTCGGGTTACTTTAATTCAGTGACATTTTGAATGTCATTAGGTCTATAGAATGGCCTACAGATGTATAAATCGGTACAGGTGCATGTATCCGGCCAAACAAATCTGGCCGAATGGGAAGGTTGGTTAGCCTTGACCAACGTGCCGTAGAGCAGGTAACCGGATCTCAGCCGTGGGTCCGTCAGCACCACTTCGCTCACTTCTCATCTTCAGCGCCCATTGCATTATCCAAGATGAGCCATGGCAAGGGCCAAAGCCCCCCCAATCCGCACAGAAGGTTCCTGTACTAGCAAGTAAGAGGCCCCAGGCCCAGTTATCGAGGAGCTTCGAACAAGTGATCGCCTAATCCAAGTGGCGCGCTGGTACCCGTAGCGCACGCTTCAGGCACTTTCGTGCTAATAAGGGGTGATATACATCTAAACTACCCATTTTGAATATTTCGTTTAAAATGGTTTTTTCTCTTAATTGAGCGCATCAAACTACCCTTTTCAACAACGTTTGATTCAAATAAGTTTTTGAAGTGACGACAAAAATGAGAACACACATAAATTCCGTCCAAAAAATAAAAATACATAAAATAAAGAGCAAAAATTTCGAGTTCAGCCAAATCCCAATTATGGTCTTACCAATGTTGGTCTACATTGATTTCAATGGACTGATTTTTCATCGTGATCTCCGCCTATGAGCAATTTACCTACTCTGTAGTATTAAGTTCCCCACTGCCCTTTATGTTCGTTCGTTTCCTCATCGTTTGGTTGTACTAATACATAGCAGACGCTCCCGAATCAGGGTCAACCGTCACGCTCGCACCTATTTTTGAATTTTTTTTGCGACTCCCCCTATCCAAGGGTCCAGTCACCCCCCCTGTTGCTATGTTACAACTTCATGTGCCTTGTGAACATTCCTTCCCAGCCCTTCATCCACCGACCCACGACGCCACCACCGCGAAATCGGCTGTGTCCTCGAGAATTGGCGAGCCTCCCTCAGTTGATGACCGAAGACTAACGACACCGGCCTCGTTCGAATAGTGCGAACGGACGGTTGATCCTCAATGTTCAATAGGAGACAATACCAATTGCTAATTAAGGTGGGAAAACGAGAGAAGATCAGTGCTGCTACATAAAGACGTGAAAAAGAAGCGACCAAAGGAATGCAAGAGCGAGGGCGATCAATCACATTGATGAAACGGCGGTTGAGAAGAGGGGAAATCAGCTATACTGAGCGATGTCTTGAGAAAGAAGAGAATCTTCGATACTTGGGCGTAGGATTATGGTTGGATGGGAAATCGGACCTAATGTTTCTTCTTTCCGTAGCTTTGCCCGTGAGGAGACTTGTCCTCAAAGAGTTAAACTCGTCTTCCTTTGTTGCAGTTCGCGCATTTTTGACGACTAAAGTTGGTGATACACAAGTACGAGGCCGATAAGCATCGGTTTATCTTCTCATCTTTTTCCCACGCTTTGACGCGGCTGGGAAGTGCGTATCCCACCTATATGTTTTTGATGAAAGAGAATGAATTATGAAGGAACTAAAACTACTTTTCCCGCCTACCATCTCCACGGTCCACTGGATCGAATCTGTTTAGGTCAATCAAGACTTCGACACAGTCAGGCTTTATCAGGTGGTACCAGTTCCGTCTACAAAATCAACACACTGAAGCTTAAAGGCAAAGTTCGGGCTCAGACCCACCTAAGAAGCCCTTACCCTGGTGCTGGGTACGCAAGTGCAAAGGTAGCGCCACCTTTCTACATCGAAACATGCCAAGGACCCTGCGTCATGGGGCCGTATGCTATCCTCCCCGAAGGGGTTGGGGGACGAAAAGTCCTTTAAATTTTCTCTGTCTTCCCATCTGGGATTGCCCTGATAAAGGCCTACATTTAATGTATGTATGTAGGTAAAAGTAAACATGCACTGAAAATGAAGAAACTATATCGTTCAAAACAAATAAATTTAAAGGAAACTTTGGATCACTTAGCTTCGGGGAAGCATAGCATACGGCCATGGAATTCTAACAGACTCCACCAAAACTTAACATGGTCCGCCCACCGTTCGATATCTTGTCTGCGTCGCACGTTGATCTGCTATGCTCTCTCTTCTCGGACTTCTCTACCGCTCTCCGCGCTCACATTATCTCTCATCTCCCTGCCTGTCTTTTGAACTTCTCCACAGCATAGAGCAAAATGCTCGTATTTCCTGTGTATTTCAGGATTTTCTTTCTTTTTTCTCCACTGGCGGTCCACCTCCCACCCCTACTTTCACATTTGAGTGGAATCACCCCATCAATTTAATCCTGATTCTTGCCTTTAAGTTTTACTGTGGAAGAAATTCTGCAGATCGTTGTGTGTCTTATATTCGAATGGCTGTCAAATGCAGTGAGCCTCCTGAGGGTTGTCATAAGGAAATAAGTTGACCTGTTTTTCATCTCTGTGGGTTCCGTGGTTATGTGGGTTGATAACGTTGTAAGGTTACAACTGCTGAACAGAGAAGCATCCAAATTTTTTGGACAACAATGGGAATCCGTACTTGGCCAAACATGACTTCAAGCTAATAGTACAAAACATTAGTGCTTGAAAAAGGCCATTCTATAACAGAAGAGATGCCTTGATATATAGCCAATGCATTAAGGTTTCAAGCATGTCACTGTTTTTTGAACGCGTAGAACCACAGTTGAGCATCAAAGAGTGAGTTCCGATGGTGGCTTTGACACAACGAAATACAGAAAGCCTAGCCAAATTCTCAGTCTGCAGAAAGATATTTTTCGATTCGATAAGAGAGGGCGCTCATATTCCATTCACTTGTGTGGAACATCCAGGAATTCGTTTTTAGCAACATATTTATCTTCATTTTGCCTTATTTTATTTTATTTGTCTATTATATCTTCATGTAAGTGCCACAGGTATTGGGTTTAAAGTCAAACGCAGACAAGAGAACATGATTTTTCGAGAATGGGTTGGGAGTGGCAGCCGCGCCGCAAATGAGCAAAATTACAAAGAAAAGGGCGCTCATGTCCTTGGGTAGGAGGGGCATTCGAAACAGGGCAATCAAAGTTCGCTGGAAGGTGACACTAGGATTAAGCCCAAGCGGGGGTAGGAATGCCAGCAGGGACGGTACGAGTAAAGTGCCATAGACTGGGGAGTTCCGTAAACGGTGAATAATGAAAGGCGAGACAGCCAGATGACCCCGCTCTGAATGGCGAGCTTCACTACATTCCTAGCAAAAGTCGCGTCGCCATGGACTTGAACCATGTAATGCAGCGCCCATGAGCGCGACGTTTGCCACTGCACCACAAAGCATTGCTGTGTTACTTCGAAAGAATTGTAGAAAGCAAGGTAGGATCCTATGAGGGTTGCAAAACATCCAGTATCATGGAGAACTGATCCCGCGAGCGATCCAATGTCAACAAGGAACGAACCCACTGCGCCAATCGACGTGTTTGTAACCTAGGATCATGGCCTAGATGATTGTACAGTAGTGAAATGCTCCCGGGACCAAGGAAGGAGCTATAACACGATCAATAAGTGGAACACTGCGGGGGACAGCTGATCACCTTATTGGCAGAAAGTTATCAATATTATCGATAGCTCCAGTGGCTTTCTTGCTGCCTCCACTCAACACCTTCCACGTACCCCTTTCTTCCCTGCGCTCTGCGCATGGCAGGGACGGAGAGACGCTCAATGCGACCAATGCATGACGTGCAGAGAAAGGGGGAAGTGCATGGGGATTGAAGAGACGCAGATAGCGGCGACTAAAATGTACTCAGGGGTACATTTTAGTCGCCCTCTACATGACCCTCTGCGTCTCTGCAATCTCCACGCACTTTCCCCTTTCTCTGCCGGGTTCGCCGCCTAGGCTAGGTGCCACCTAATACGTTCGCCACTTAACATGTGGTATAGACCTCGCCCTCTGCGGGAGGTCAGCGTGAATTTCCGCCCTTTCCCCATGCTTTTTGAGTGCCGACGAAGGCGAGATCAACGTGACCTATTGGCCAGCTATAGACTGGCTATTTAGGGGACTTTACTACCGTCCCAGACAAAATAAAACTGACATGTTGCCAGAATCAGATCCCTCCAAAGCTTAACCCCAAATTACTGTGGGTGGCTCACTACTTGAATTGCCCTCCCCAACAACGTGTAGCGCCAGAAAACAAATTCATTTCCTGAGCTGTTAAAAAGCATTCAGCGAAAGGGTATGCCACGCGGTAAATATCCTCTATCGATCTACACAAAAGGAAAGTTTTGGAAGCCCGGTGCTCAATCAACGCGCTAAACCTGAAAAAAGGAAGGGATAGGGATTTGAATCAACGTGCACGTTCTTTTTAGGCTATAATTCCTGTTCTCGACAGCGTGCTTTTTCGCGATAATAAACTGCGTGTTCGATTTTACACAGGATGCAATATTTATTAACAGATTATAGAGCCGTACTTGGTAGGCTCTGCTATGAACACACTCATCGACTGAGATAATTATGGTCAGTGAAAATGCCTACAAGACCCCATCCTTGCAATATGTACAAGCAGCTGAAGCGGGATCAGTTCGTCGAACTTGAGAGAAGGAAAGTCTTCATGAGAAAGACTGCACTTGGTGTCTGGACAGGCAGAACTACAAACGTTATGAGTATCGGATTGACCCTGCTTCTGACTCTTTTTCCTGAAATCAAAGGAATTGTTCCAGCAGAGTGAATCTTGTAAATAGCTTATTCATCTCCAAAAGAAGACTTCTCCAGCTCAAGAACGATAGGACTCACCTCTTGTAGTAAGCTGGCCGTCTTGATGACTGTGTGACTCATATCGCCAGCTGCCTGGAGAGGGCAATTTTTAGCGCTGTCTACCGCTAATCTCATGCAAATCTTCGACTTACATTAGCAGGCTTTGCTGTTTCCGCAAACGTGCCGGCCAGACGTGAGGATGAGTCGTAAGTTGCACCACCTACTCCTCGTCCTACCTCGGCAACAGGTGCAGGGTCTCTGAACGGAAGGCCACCAAGGCCACCAAGGCCGCCAGCACCGCCTGCGCCTTGACCTTGAACACCTGATAAACCTGCACCAACAGCAGTATTGACAACTCGATCAGCGACGTTGAGGGCCTGCCCGAGTCCAGCAGTTCCGCCAAGTGGTTGTCCTTGGCCGGCCATGGTACCCGCACCAACACCACCGCCTCCAGAAGGTTGCCCTTGACCGGCACCACCGAGAAACCTATTAGCAAGTTGCAGAGCCTGTGCAAGACCCCCACTCCCACCAGCAGGTTGAGCACCTGGAGAAATACCTCCACCAAGAGATGGAGCTGCTGCTGGACCAGAACTAGGAGCACTAGCAGCAGAGGGATAAGGCGGTGCTGGAGGAAGATAGCTGGGAGCTGGTGGTGGAGGGAGATATCTAGAAGGCGGGGGTGGAGGAGGTGGAGGAGGTGGTGCTGCGACGTAGACAACAGGAGCAGCTGCTGCATGTGGCCTGAAATACTTTTACTTGAATTCAAAAATCGTTAGCAGGCATAGAAAGATAACTAAGAGCTGCGGGTGAATAGATGGCTTCAAAACTCACACGCAAGCAGGCGGAGCACACTTAGGCTTAGGAGGTGGAGGAGGAGGAGGCTCTTCAGCGGGTGCACCTGGTATGCAGCAAAATTGACCACCGGCTCCAAAACACGCTTTCACAGAGGTGGCAGAGATACCCAAAAGAATCAATGTGCGAATCTGAAAAAAGAAATAACTTAAGGGGTGAGAAAATTTGAACGGAGGACCCTTTATGGTGAAAAATTCAACATCAGGGAAGTTTCTTTTTTTGAGGTCCGCTTATCTTTGAGGGATGCCTCAATAAAACTTGGTGGTCTAAGGTCAGTAAAACTTTTTCAGTTTAGAAGTTTCTTTTAGAAGTTCTTGTTCAACATAGCAGATAGCAAAACAAACAAAAGCGTCTTAAAAATACTAGTAAACAAAAATTGCTCTGAACAGTTACCATGTTTACACGGCCGTCAGAGGGCAGTGAGAAGGCAGGCGGGGAGCCTAGAATGACAGAACAGTGAACTGTGGACGTTAAGCCGTCGACGTTCCTGATTATCCTTATATAGTCCCGTGGGGGAGGATCGCAACGGCTTCGTTCTCCACGTTCCGCTTATTTTTCTCGCGCTGCACGGAGCCAAGCATCCCACCACCGATACTTGCTAAAGTCCGCCCATACTACGTCGCTTTAGCCGCTCGTAACGGACGGTGATGGCTGTCGTCGGCGTTAGAAAATCCATGACACTGTTCTGCTTTTGTTGGGGCGCCTTTTGAGCGACTGTACTGGAAAATCCTCTCAGCACTCAGTCATACTAGTAAGATGTCCTCCAATGTGCAGCTCAAGATGGAGCCATTGCTAAAAGCGGATTTTACGATAAAATGGCCACCCGTTGGCAATGATAGTAGAGGTGGACAAAGGAAGAGTAGCGAAGAAAAAATACGAGAAACTGTCCAAAACCCGAGAAGTGGAACCCCTCTTCTGCCCGTTGATTCCCGCTTCTGACAAGCCAGCGATCAGGACAAGCTTTTTTACAAGTGTTAATTCCGATAGCCGGTATTATGCCAAGAATCATCATCTTTTGATTGGTGACACATTACATTGAAAAACTATAAGATACGGCCGCTTGAAATTTGATTGCCCTTACGAAAATGAAACCATTGAAGAAACCATTAATTTAAAGGCAAGCTTTGGGATAAAATAGCTGTGGAAGAGCGCTCACTAATGAACCTCAAAGGTGGGGAGTGGTCTGGAAAAGAAGAAAAGAGCAAAAGATCATGCACCGAGTAAAGACCCCTCTATTTCAGCCATTCCACCTAGGGATAGAGAAGGGACGTATTGGACGAGTTAACGGCACAGCTCTACTTCCTCCGCACCCCATCCAGAGTCAACCCTGCGTTGCGCAGTTCGCAACGGCACGTTGAGAGATCCTCAACGCACGCTGTATGGGCGGAGACGCAGACGGCTCGAGCATGCGAGTGTGAATGTTCGCGCGAGAGAACGTGTCTAATCGGGCGAAACTGCGCAACGTGGCCGTTGAGAACTGCGCAACGCAGGGTTGACTCTGCCTATGAACATTGACCCGCTAGTGAAACCGCTGCTCAATTGCACATGCGTTTTTTTCGCAGTGTCACGTGACGGCCCACAGCGGAAGGCGGGGCTTGCGTACGGAGGTGTGGATTGCGGAATCGGAGCGAGCTTCCATGCCCCTTGCGCGCACGTTTCAAGTCCTCAAAAGGGCAGCGACATCCAACGCTGTCAGCCTGGCTTACTGGCGCTCGAGTGAAGTGTTCGACCTAATCCGGAGCGCTTCCGCGTGCCTTTAAACTATCGATGTGCAAAACCTTATTTAGAAACCAGGAGTCAGACACATCGACCGTTATGGACGCAACACGAAGTAATAAATAAAAATAATATTTAATAATAAACGATACCAGAGTAAATAATAATAACAAACAATTTTGAAAAAGATAACCTTCGCGTGGCTGATTTATTTATTTAATATCGTTGTGTAAAGATTACAAAGTTTTCATTTTCGGCCTTTTTTAGCGGCTACTTCGAAAATTGCCCCTATTGTTGGCGATCCATATTTTTTGATATTGTATGTTTGCCTACACTATTTTAGTTTCCAATTTACGACTTTCGCCGTCATGCCGCAGTGGATATGTGGCCTCAAAATTCTCGTGCAGAGGCAGCCGTCTCAGTTACAGATGGACTTCTTTTCAAAAAGGTTAGCCATTCCTATCGCTTATTCTCAAAGCTTTCACTTTAAAGCATGAACATCATATCAGTTATCCTTGCGACGTATCATAGAATATAATCTGGCATGAACACCATTTCAGCCAATACATACATGTAAATGTTTAGTACGCTGGTTTCGAGTCATCGGTTGACTTTCACAACTGTGAGAACGTTTCATGAGTCTGCGCATTTCCTTTTTCTTGTAAGCCAAATGTGAAAGTTCCTGCCAAGCAATGGAGAACGATCTATAGCCTCACCCTAGCTTATCACAAAAATCACTAATACTAAAACGCTTTATTCAGCGAGGTTGTGATGTTTTCTTGAGAAGTTTTACGCTTCACCTATGATGACCCAGAGGATTTCGTTAAGGCAACGCAAACAGAAAGACTAAAAAATTTAAAGTGAATTCAGGTGGCGCTTCTGATGACCCGCCGTCAATCTCCAGATTCCTCCATAATGACCGTACCTGTGTGGCGCTAAGTTCTACAAATGTGCCACGCTGCCGCGATGGTGAGCTTCGATATTCACTTGAGGAACCCACACAACATGGTCGAACGCGTTGAACAAGGGGAAACTTATCTGGTGGATCTCTGAGAGTGCGGACAGACACACAATTTGCAGCGGCGGATTCACATATTAGCAATAGTAGGCAGAAGTAGCCACCAACTACTACGACGATGCTAGTACGCACATATGTAATGCTTGAAAAGCTGACAAACTCCCCTGCATCTGAAGCTGTCCTCATCTCTTGAAGTCGGTCGCCCCATCTTATCTGGAATAACGAAACCAGGGCTAGGCGCAGCATCAAATTACAAACCTGGTTTATACCAGCGTTGTTGAAAAAAAAAGGCTTTTTTTGCTAATCTGGATGGAGTCGTAAAAGTTGTTCAAAGAATAATTCACCTGATCTTTAGTACATGCTCTATTACACTGGCGACTCAAAGCCGGGCCTTATAATCAAGTTGATGAGGTTATCGCATATGAACATGAAAAGTAGGAGGGGAAGTAAGGATTCGTTACTACATGACACGAAGAAAAACAAAACGAAATCCATTCAAAAAGCCTGGAATTTTGCCTTTTGCATGTGAGATTTTCGTTGCCGTATCGGCGACAAGCTTTTGCAGACCACAACCGCGCGTGTGAAAGAATACCCGAAGCGATAGAGCAGGTCAGTAGTTATGGAGGTTCTGCCCCTCCATTGTCACTTTGAAACCCGTCAAAAAAGACCACCTGATCCATTCTGGGGATGCCATTTATACCACTAACTTGGTTTGAAGAGGGCGCTTTCAGCAAGCACCACAAAATATGTTGCTGAGAGTCGAGTTCGTAATGCCCGGTAGCAACCTAAACGCCAGTTACTATTCCGGACTTCTTCGTCGCTACGACATTGTTAACGAACCTTTGTCTATAAGAACTCTGCCCCTTCTTTAGGGTTCTCCATGAGCAAGAGAAGCCCTTTTCAAGACCCAAAAGTTGCTGACTTTGTAAAAGCTTCAGACCATCAGGGAGATTTGGGTTTCTGTCATGATTCAGCCTGCTAAAATGTGACGTCTTACAGCACAGGCTTCTGCAAAACCGTTCAAGGTCTTTTCTATAGATCGACCAGATTTCCACCAATGGATTTTTTATCACGCCGGAAGTTGTCAACTTACGGCGTTAGCTGGAAGCATGCAAGACGCCGGCATTCACCTTGCAAAGATCCAGCAGCTCTTGAAATCACACCTTGGACCGACTGCTTGGGTGGTGATTGCGCTTCCACCGAGAGGAGTCTCGTTGTTTGGTCTCATTCCCTTACCGCATGCCATTTCAGTGGGGAGGTTTACCCATGAAATCCCCTATTGGCGTGGGTCACAAACCCCTCGTACACGATCACGATCACATGGTTTTCACGGTCCCTACCAACTTTTCTTTTTTCTTCCACTACTGACGAATCAATACCATAAGTGCGTTTTTTTTGAGAGCAACAGCACATACTAGTAAAGGATAAGGATAAAGCATTTGCCGTTGATCAATCCCTTTTGGGATGCGGCACGCATTCTACTTCCATTTGTACATTCGTAGTGGCGTTTGAATGCGATGTGGCCTATACAATGACTTGCGGGGCCAGCCGATGTACAAGTCAGTGTTTTTATCCTCCCAGACAAGTCTGGTACCAATTAACCGACCCCGGAGGGATGGAAGGCTTGGTTGGCCCGGGCGACTCACGACCCAGGATTTGATCCCCGGACCGCTCGCGTGGGTAAGCGTGCCACTTGCCACTACACCACTTCCGCCCTTACAAACTTAATAATACAACCACGGAATAGCTTCCAGGAGCGCAATGGTGTTTAAAAATAAGACAGTGATCTTTCCTAAACCTAAACCTGGAAAGGAAATTTCTTTCGCAGCTGAGCTGACTTTTTCGTAAAACCTACCCTACCACGAATGTTGTGCTACACACAATCACCGAAGCTCTAATTTTATAGGGTTGTGTCGTCGTCGAACTTCTTCATGGGAAACCGGAACATCACGCCCATTGTCATTCAGGTATGTCCACTTACTTATTTTGCACCTTTTACCACTAGTGACTCAAAGGAGACTAGTCCAGGATAGAAAATTCTCCATGTTAGAGTGAAAGGGGTGAGCGTTAATCTACCTTGTGCTGCTCAATAAGAAAAAAAGAAAGTGAAGAAACGTGAACTAGAAGAATACAAGCGACTTATAAACACTTGGGATGGTTCGTGCCTTTTGCAAGAATCCTTCCTGTGAAAATCGTGATCCTATTTCACTATGTAATATTCTTTCAGGTAGACCATGAGTCGAAGCTATCAAAGATGGACCTTTTCAAGAAGGAAAACTTTGTTTTCATCAACAATGATGGTACTTGCAACGCCTCTGCAGTCATTCAAATCAAGTGAGTCGCCTCCCAGAACTGTACGTCAGGAGGCCCGCATTGTGGTAGCGCACTGTGGCACTG